AAAAGCAGATATACATCATTAACGCTTTGGAAAGAAATAGATTGCTATGTTTATGTTTCCTTTGGTTTTACTGAGAAAACCTGTTTGAAGGTTAAAGGCCTGTGGGGAGGAACAGAAACACATTTAAAGTGCTCCGGAACGCTATCCCGTGTGATGGGTCCTATATAAATGCAAGTTATTGTTGTTCTGCAGTTATGCTTCAGTCTTTTTTCTTCTATTGTCAGCACACGTTTTCCAGCGCCTTGGGATGTCCTCCTGACATGAAAGGCGCTATACAAATGTAATTTTGTTGTTGTTGAAAGATAAAGTGAACTGAGAAGCAATGGTTAGATGATAACATGCTTAGGTCTTAAAAACCCGATTGTAAGCTAGCTTCCAGTGCCTTATCCTGTCATAACATCTGAAAATCACTTTACAGGAATCATCATCAAATGTACTATTTAGGAAAACTAAGCAACCTTTTTTACGTGGCAAAATTCTGCAAAGAGTCATGAAATGATTACAAATCAATATTGAGGTTTCGTTACCAAGAGAACCATTTCTCTTTTGAATAGTGTCATAAGATCTTTAATGTCCATGTGAAGAACAGGAAGAGGGTTCAGTGTCTCACCCACTTTGACAGCATCCCCTCCCCTGCACTGGAATGGCAGTCTACATTATAATAAAAATGCTTGATTTGGTATAGGTGCCTTTCATGTCAGGAAGATATCTCAAAGTGCTTCACAGGATGTACAATAAAGTGACTGTATTTTGTAGGTGAATGTGTCAGCCTATTTGCATACAACAGTTTCCCACAAACAGCCATGAATTAAATGCCCAATTTTTGATTTTATTCCTGGTTCTGTTACATTATCCAATATTCCAGTGTTCCTTATTTTATAGAAAAATGTAACATGTGTTTTAGAAGTTTGTGCAAGGTGGGTGTATGCTGAGTGAATCTGATGCATTGTTTCCCTTTTAAGAAGGTTGCAATGCCTTTTGCCTTTTGCCTCGTTGAATGACAGTAATCATTAGATCAACTTGCATTGCTCTCTTGAAAACTATAGTTTGCAGCCTGCTTCCGTTGGAGTCTTTATCTTGCTTCCTTGATGTGTCCAAGTTGGGTTTGGAATCTGTTCTATTGAAGAAGTGTATGTTTGAATCAGAAAGTCAGTTTTCTGCAATAAGTTGGTTAATGATTGGAGTTTGCTCTTATTATTGGGTTTGGTTTGCTGTGTCCTTCCTTCTTCAGTGCAGATGCGGTTCCTTAAAAACACAGCTATTGATATGTTTTAATTGCCATTTGTATTTACATATTTCTTTTTGAACTTAGAATTAAGTTAGAATTAAAATCAACAATTTACATTTATAAAGCATTTTTCACATTGGGAGGACATCTCAAAGCACTTTACAAGGCTGATTGGGAGCCTGAGCTGAGGAAGGGGTTGGTGTGGGGAGAAGAGAAGATAGCTGAAAGCGCAGTTGAAAAGATGGGACTTAAGGCAGGCTTTAAATGTGGGGTGATAGGGGGCAAGGGGCTCCGGGCTGGCATTTCATAAGCGGAAGCAGAATGGCTGACAGTTTGGCCACCGATGGTGAGGCGGATTGAATGGAAGACTCAAAGCGGGCCTGTGTTTACTGAGCAGCTGGGTTAGTAGGGTTGCAGGTGAAGCATTTTGATATTTATGGGCTCTACGTCATTTGAAATGATTATTAAGGTACTATAAAAATAAACTTAGAAGTAAACTACAAACAGGAAAACTGAAAAACTTTGATTAATCAACGACTTGTGTTTTAGCACCTTTCACGTCAGATGAAAATGTCAAAGCACTCAAGTGTTATAAAATTACAATGTGGATTTACAATGTTGATTGGAATTTTATAAATTGAAGTTATTATCTTGTCTTCAATAAGATGATATCTGGAATTGGATTCGATTCACGGGCAGGGCAAAACATTGGGCAAGTTTCCTTATTCCACACACTTCCGTTTACCAAGCCGTAAGTAGGTACCTGTTTATTAGTCAATTGGCGGATCACTTTTCCGAGAGGAGGTAATACCTTCAAAAATAAATAAAAATAACTTGGTCACTTAATCCACGACACTGCTGTGCCCAATTGGCTGCTGCGTTTCACCCACAAAATATATAGTCACTACATTTTTACAGTATAGCCTGTGAAGCGCTTTGAGACGTCTCAAAGAGGTAATAAGGCGCTGTATCCAATGCAAGGATTATTATTATTTATATGATTTTTACAAAATTCAACCTGTTGATAACTGTAAAGCACAAATAGAATATTTAACAGCTTATCCAGAAACTATTTACTCTGCTAGTCTGAAGGCCAGGAGCCTGTTGGAAGATCCTGTTTGATACTTCATTGTAATTCACATCAACATCAATTGATAATCACGAGTTGGTCTGCCAGACTGAAATGTAAAAGTACATTGAGGACGATGGTTCTAAAGTCCAGTTGATATCACTTAAGATATTAACTGTCTCAATGGTTTTAATTGTTCCCATTGGTCCACTCAACCCTTTGAAAGTTAGGTTCAGAATGTAATTCCATGTCTGTCACCTGGGGGCAGGGAGTCATCCCACTCAGCTCCTGTTAACCCTGCAAGCCAAAGCCCTAACGGTTAGGGTGGTCCTAGCTGGACAAAGAGTGGGAAGCTTGCCAGAAAGCGTCAGCAATGGCAGGCTATGTGGTTTTAGCTGATTAGATTCCAGCAGTACCCCAACACATACACTGGGGTCCCCAAGCCTTGGGTCTTCCTAATACTTTCCGGAATCCAGAGAGACAGTGCCTATTCCATTCCAACAATCTATCTCTGGGATTTCCATGTGTAGGTGGGATATATGGAATTCTCAGTTTGGTTTAGATACTCTTAAGCATGGTGATGGGTTTCTGGTTTCTGCATGTGTCAGATACACCGGCTTCCTCCCCCCCACCTCTAAAATATTTTGAGTTAACCGACGATGCAGGAGGCTGGACTCTGGTTCTTCTCTATTCATGAGGGATTACACGAGAATCTCAGCTTCTCTTTAAATCAGGCAGCTATCAAGTTAGCTTGTGGTGATCACCCGTTCGTCTTCTTTGCGACCACGACGAGGTTTCAGTGCCTCTGCTCCTGTGGTTGTGCATCACTGTTTCCTTTTGATGCACTGAACTGCATCTCTTCACCCACCAGTTCACAATCAGTGAATGGTGTTTTACAATTCTATTAGTAAAATATTCTAATATTTCTCACTTCCTTTTTCCCTCCCCCATAACTCAAATCAAATGGAACTAGAAAGGAAAAAAGATTATTTGCGTCTTGTTGTTAAGTAGGCTAAAGTAACTTCACTTGGTGGGTGTGAGTGAAGATCAAGTGCATTCTTTACTATATTTTATGTGCGGAAATACGGCAGAAATTAAGACCTGCAGATCGTCTGTCACTGTTTTCTGTTGTTCAGTATCTCAATGACCATTAACTGCGCTCACTCAGGAGGGAGAACTTCAGATTCTGCAGATGGGCCATTGTTGTCCTTCACTCATTTACTGACCAGCTTTGAGGCTGATGACAACTGTCAGCAACTTGACTTTTGGGGAAAATAGATGTCTTTGTCGTAGCTTAGTGGTCAGAACACTTGCCTCGCAAGCGAGAGGACCTGGGTTCGTTTCCCAGCAGGGTGAGACATTGGGACTCCATATAATAGCAGCGTAAAGCAACAAGCCTTGGGAAATTCTGTGCCTAGACATCATCGGATCTTCCAACAACAACCTGCATTTACATAATGCTCTTCACACAGGGTAGTGTCTCGGAGCACTGAACAATTACCTAATTTGAGCCAGGGAGAAAGGTAAGGTGACTATAGACAAAGGTCAGAGAGACTACAGGTGTGATCTGAAGATGGGCAAAGAGAAGGAAAAGCGGAGGGATTGAGGCAGAGAGTTCCAGAGGTTTCAGGTGTAGTGACTGAAGGCACATTCGCTAGTGGTGGAGCGGAGAGTTTGAAGGACCTGCAAGGGACAGGTAGAAGAATAGTGTGAGCAGGTTGGAGAGGTAGGGAAGTGCTAGGATATGAAATGATTTGTAGGCAAGTGTGAAGATCTTGAAATTGAATCATTCTGTGACAGCGATTGTTGTGATGGGAATTATCAAATGTACATATAAGGAAATGTGACAATTGCCCTGGCTCTACTACTAATAACATCAAATCTGTTAGGGCCTGTATCGTATGTTACAGTAAAATTGTGAAACCAGAAATTTTGGAAAATCCCTAAAATTTTCAGTAAAATTATGAAAATATGAAATCACTGAAATTAGGAGTCAGGGATTTTGTGAAAAAATTGTCATTTCATCATATTTATAACATTGCCTTGACACTTGTTAGATTACCAACAAATAAATAACACATTATGAAAATTAATTTTATTCACTATAAACTTCATGTGACATTTCATTCAAAGTCACATGTTCATTTGTTGACACAAGTGAGGCTTCCATGACACTGGGAGTTACGTTTTAGCTTTGTTTTGAAACATTTACAACGGTTGGTCTGAGGTTTCTTCTGATCGCAGTTACACTTCGTAAAGCCTTGTCCAAACAGAGACTGCTTTCTTCTGGTTGACACAGGAAACTTGAATAACTCTAGCACTTTGTTTAGGATGTGGGCGTTGTAGCTCTTTAATCATGCGATCACTCCCCTGCTTTTCCATCCTCTCTCCCTGTGCTGTTTTTGCAGCAGCTCTTTACTTTCTGAGCTGATCAACGCAAATACACCAACATCCTGACCAAAGCGCTAAAATTATTCAAGCCTCCTGTATCAACCAGAAGTTAGTGTCACTCTGTGAAGCTGTAATTGAACAGTCTGTCTGTGCCGGAAAAGGCTTTACGAAGTGTAACTGCAGTCAGAAGAAATGTCACACCAACCGTTATGAGCTATGATCATAGAACGCTTTGAGCTGTGAAGAAACAATGAATATTCAGCAGACATGTATGAGGGCCTGGAATTCACACACTCTCTTGTTTTTTTTCAGGACTTTTTCTATACTGCTCTGATCGCATTGCTTTTTCTGCTCGCCTCGATTGTGTTTGCGGCCTTAAATGATGGGACTGGTCTGGAGCAAGCTTCAGTGGTAAGTTATTTAAAATGTTGTCATTCATCACCTTTCTCCACCATCCTCTTCTCGCCCAGTTGAAGGTATTGACTGTTGGTATGTCTCTATGAGAACTACAATCTTTAGTTCTTTGCCTAAATGCCATTCTTTGTGAGTGTATACATATCTGATAGCAACGGGGAATAGGAGGCCTAGCTGATCTTTCCCAGCGCAAAGGATACTAAGATCAATTACAGTGCTCTATCCCTATTTTAGCTGAGCTTGGTTCAGGCATTTACTGGTATGTATGGCTTTGTACTTCAGCGCATGGTGTATAGGTCATTGAGGTGGCTCTGCTGATAAAATATCGTAATAATACTATTATTAGAATCATTGTTCAACTTTTTTTAATATAATTTTCTCCCCACTGGCACATGCTCTGTGCTCCTGATCTGGCCTCCTCTTGCTGATGTGCAGTTCCACAGGCGCTGGTTGTTCTCTGGTCCCCACCCAGGTGGCCATTATTTGTGTATGAGTGTCAGCAGGTTACTCCACTACAGAGGGCATTGCAACCGAGCCTGACCTCTCATCACTTGGCTGTGCCACGTATCACAGACAGTAGGGGTGCTGAAAAGGGACCAGGTTGACTTTAACCTTCCTTACCCTGGGAAGGCTGGGGCCAATGTAAACTGCCTATGGAGCTCTCGCTGAGATCATCATACCTGAAATAGTGACCTCCTGGTCTATAAGTTACTACTCTATCCCCTAAACAATCGGGGTTGTCCCATTTAGAAAGGTTTTGAAGCCAGAGAGGTTTAGAGAGTGCAGGTCTGGTGTCAACAGCAGCATCAGTATTTTTTTCTGTTCTTCCTATTTGATTGTTTCAGGATAGAAGTGAGTTCCCATGAACTGGAGAGCTAGTTTGCTGCCACATGGCTATAATCAAACTGCCATGAAATTGCTTCCCTTTTCTCTCTGTAACCTGTTTGCAATCTTCTTCCCATTTACTTTGTTGTTATTCCTGTCTCCTAGGCATTTGGATTTCTGGCCACCATTGCCTTCATTGTAGATACTGTGTTGCAATATAAGGAAAGAAATATATTCTTCAAGCAAAAGGAAGCCGATCCCCAAAAGAGTGGAGAAGCAGCAAAACCGCCAGAGAGTGAGCCACTGAATGAAAACCCAAGTGCTTGAGCCACATAGATGTTTGCTTTGGTTGTTACAATGTGCCCGATCTGTACATATTTGATTTCTAGTTCCCTGGTTTGATCAAATACTTATAAGCAAAAAGAAATTCAATTGAAAGGCTTTCTTATGCTCATTGTTTTGACAAACCGATCTGATTATTCTGCACGGGAATTCTACTCATAAAATTGTGTTTTTTGCATCCAGTCTTCATAATATAGTGGAAGCCACTTAAACTGGACACCTAAGGGGGTGCCCCATTCCGTACAAAATAACCGGCATCTGAGGTTAACTGAAGTTCTCTTACCTCTTCCCTTCCCGCCCAGCATCAGAGTGGCAATGACACTGCCTCTTTCCTATTGCCATTCCCATTAGTCGTGTCCTGCCTCACTTCAAGGTGATCGACGCCTCAGAGCCACTGCTAATTGGTCTCCTTCTTGTCCGCTGGATGCAGTCACTGCCCCCCCTTCCCCTCACTGGTTGCTGCAGTTTGACAGCCTGGAGCCACTTGTGAATGGTTGGAATCTGCTCGATTAATCATGATTTGACTTCTCCCATCTCCATTCCCTCCCTTGTTTCTGCCCCGTTCCTCCGCACCCTCACTGATTGACAGCCCACAGCTGCTCGTGAATAGATGGAGGCGCTCAAGGCTGAATCACACAGTGAGTTGAGTTCACGCAGCGGTGACCACAAGTGTGGCATTCTGTCCGGATTAACCAGATTTGTGTCCAAATTAACTGTCATGTTTAAAATAGGTGAGAACACAAATGAATCAGGGCAGGGTGTTTTGTCCTGATTTATTCCGCGTCCGGCTTAAGCAGCTTCCACTCTATAAGAATAATGTACACATCAATCCATGCAGATTTCTAGCACTTGCATTTTTTCTTATTTCTACGTAATCCAGATTTTAGTGTCAGTGTTGTATCTTTCAGCTACTCTTAGCATTTTTTTTTAAAAATCAGGAAACCTCTGGCATCGCGAAAGATTTGATAATTGTGAATACAGAAATTTAGAGCAACATTTCATTGTAAAATTGACTTGTTTAAAACATTTTGTTGGTGGAAGCTACATTACCCAATGAAATATGATTTGCTGATTCTGGTGTCTTTTTTAATCATTTTAGACTAAAATAGCCAGTTGTGTGCTAAGTAAATTTCTAGTATGTTTGGCAGTGTCAGTAATATTTCAACACTCACTGGCAGGTTCACTCTTCACCCTTTGTGAGAAAGGAGTCCTGCAGCTCAGTGTTAGATCACTCGCCTCACAAGCAAGAGGACCTAGGTTTGATTCCTGGGTAGGCAAAATGTTAGGAAAGTTTCCTTACTCCAATAACTAGGAAGCCAGTTGTTAAGTCAATTGGCGGATCGCTTTTCTGGAGGTAATAATCCATTTTTTAAAAAAATAACATTTTCGCCCACAAAATGTACAGTCAATTCACTTTACAGTATATTCTGTGAAGCACTTTGAGACATCTTGAAGATGTGATAAGGCACTATGTGAAATGCAAGGATTATTATTAATTGTTCCTTAAATTCTCTTGTAGTCATTTGCTTGGTTAGTGCAGTAAGAACCCTTGTTACTCAGATTAAACTGCCTGGGATGATCTAAATTCAGCAGTTGAAGTCAGTACTAAAATGGATTCTCCCTGCAGGTGATTCAGTTTTATACCTTCATCTTCACTTTAATATTTATAAACCGCAAACTACACCACTCACCGCAAGTCACTTTTTCCACGATTTCCAAGTAGACTTGGTGGTTATGGCAAGTTTTAAGTGACATATTATTTGAATAATTCACATACATTTGGTTCACTGTAATATTACTGCTGCTGTGTTGAAATTTGACATCATAAATAATCTCAATTCAGATAATAGTTTAATCTATTCAAATGTGACGAATGTAGGGGGGAGGTAGTAGAGTAAATTTGGAGTTAGAAAGTCTGCCTGGGTCTAGATTTGATTTACAAATTTAGTATTTCAGAACGTGAACGTAGAATTTGGCAAATTGTTAAATGTAGTTCTAAAGTCTTTTTTGTAGCTTTTAAAAGAACTTGCACAAAAAGCAAAAAAATAAAGTATTTAAGAATTCAACAAATTCTGGACACTCTGAAAAGCTACGGTAATAGAGTAAATCTAGATCCAGGTGAAATTTTATCCCATACTTTGCTGGCCTCACTTTTTTTACACATCTTTTATGTTTTTTTTCTCTGCATATGTTACAGTAAGTTCAATGTTGCATGCAAATTTATATGTGGAAAACAATCCTCGTATACTAACCATAACCAAGTGATGGGCTATCTCGTCCATTAACCTTTGATTGAAATTGATTCCAAATTGCCTTAACTAACCACCTACACCTTTGGCTTACCTTTGCTGTGTTATAAAATGTGTATTTGTGGTCTACCATGTCCGAGTACAACACTAATGGGATTCCAAGATTGGAATCACAATGTACCTAATGTTGAGACATTTGTCATTAATGTGATGGGGATTTAATCAGTTTTGCCTATTTATGTCATTATTGGCGAAAAAAAATGCATTTATATAAAACTAGCTGTACCAGTTGCAGCTTCATTTGCAACCAAAAGATTCAATATGGAATATAGATTGACAGACAGACAGACATTTCATCTTTATCTATACTCATCTGGGAGGACTCCTGTGAGTGGACTCCTTTTGGGAGGACTCAATGGGAGGACTTGGCGCTTTAAAAATTGAATTTTGTTGTTGCTGCAACTTTGTCTGTGTTCTTTATTTTGTTCCCGCTGCTTGGCTATGTGCTTACTCTGTGAGGCAGGATGCAGTGTGTGTGTACATAGGTGCTCTGTGAACCACGATGCACCAGCATCACTTTGACTCGGCAGCTACCAGATGTAACTGCAGCGAAAGATGCAAAACTGAAAATAACTCATGAACAATAGAAGATACCTGAAACCAAATATGCCCATGTCACACACAGATGCACGACCTTTCCAATGAGGTATAAAACATAACTTTACGTCAATCAGTTATTGAGATCCTTCTTGAAACGCAGATAGACATTTTTGTTTTATTAGTATAGCTAGAAGAAGATAGATAGAAGATATATGCCTGTTTGTTGGGGTGGGAAAAATTAAAGTGAAACTAAAGTTTGTGTAAATATTGCATTCATGATGATTGTGTGAAAGTGCCTGGTAATACTTTTAATCACCATGTTACTGAGATTCAACATATCTTTCAATTTTTGTAGTTCAGTTGTGTACCAAACTCTGTATGTCATTATAATGAATTTATAATTAAAGACTCTTTAATTTTTAATTGTGTAATTTGCCATTGAATTTCAAGTCGATGACAGACATAGAATGAATTTTCTTTCTTGCAATATTAGAAGTACTATTTGCCTAAATATCTTTTATGAAAATATGAATTCACTAAGGAGCACAAATTCAATCTTTGAGAATCCTAGTAGCTGAAGTAAAATTTAAGCATTGTATTTCTGTTACTTCTGTATTTTCTGCTTCAAATTCATAAATAACATTCTGGAGCGACCAATATTTTTGACTGCTGTACAAAATGTCCACATTTTAACTGTTCTAAAGAGATAACCTGCTTAAAGGATTGCATCTCCCTGACCTTCCCTCACCCATTATTTCAGTGCTTTTCAACTGCTTTCATTTTTTACCATGTTTGTCTGAACCATTTTTAGCTATTAGTCTTAAGCCAAGAGGAATTTCAAGTTTTTGGTTGTTGGATTATAATTAAGGGCAGAATATACTGCCATATTCCACCGGTTAACATCAAGAGTGAGTGTTCTGTGCATGTTAGACAAGTTGAACTCTCCCTGTTTTTTTAAAAAAAGAGGGGCAGGGGCTGTCTGTCACTGCACATCAGAAAAAGCAGAATCTATAATAATAATGATGATAATCCTTGCGTTTGATATAGCGTCTTATCACGTCTCCACTTCATCTCCACAAACGACTTCTCCCGCTCTGCCTTCCACCACCTCCGCAACATCGCCCAGCTCCGCCACTATCTCACACCGCAGGCCGCCAAGAAACCTCATACACACATTCATAACCTCCAGGCTCGACTATGCAAACTCCTTGCTTGTCGACCTCCCCAACTCCTCCCTCCATATGTTGCAGATCATCCAGAACTCTGCAGCCCATGTTCTCTCCCCACCAGACTCTGCAACCCTATTACCCCCATCCTCCCCCGACTCCTCGCTCCCCATCACACACAGGATACAGTTCCAAGATCCTGGTTCTCACCTTCAAAACCCTCCATGGCCTTGCTCACCCCTACCTCTGCGACCTCCTAACCCCCTACCAACCTGCCCACCCCTCTGCTCAGCAGTCTCTGGCCTGCTTCACATGCCCCACCTCTCCCGTCCCACCATAGGCAGGTGGGCATTCAGCCACTCTGCCCCCACCCTCTGGAACTCCCCGCAGTTCCTCCACCTCGCCCCCTCCCTTGCCTCCTTGTAATTTTGTTGGGAACTGTCTCAAAGTGCTTCACAGGATATATTGTGGATTGACTGTATTTTGCGGGTAAAATGCAGCAGCAAGTTACGCACAACAACATTCCACAAACACTCATGGCGTGCATGACCACAAACAGCCGTGGAGTGTGTAACCAATGGAATGAGTAAGGTTTGGTCATTGAGAACATAGTAATTTCCTGTTAATAATGAGCTTCCTCCAATGAACTAAAAATAAAATCATCTATTAGCCTTTTACATTAGGAAAATGTAGCATTTCACAGGATGTAAATAAGTGGATGTTTTGGCAAACGTGGCAGCCAACATTATCCCACAAGCAGCCAATTTACCCGATAAACCTGGGTACATTTTCAAATCCCTTCACTCCCTGGTATCTCCCTACGTCTCTGACCTCCTCACTCCCCAATCCACCACTCAACACATCCGTTCGACTGGCACCAACCTCCTGCTTGTCCCAACGTACTACGCTCCTCCATTGGAGGCCAGGCATTCAGCCACTGTGCCCTGAAACTCTGGAAAACCCCCCTCAATCCTCCACCTTGCTCCCTCCCCTTTTTCAAGTCCCGCCTGAAAACTTTCCTTTTCGACCACTCCCAGCTCGGAGTAGGGCTCTGCAACTGTTATGCACTCTGAGACGCTACGCTGTGTGGAGGACACTATATAAGTGCAAATTGTTGCTGTGTATTAGATATGATACTAAGTTCACAAAATCTACAGCAAATCATTCCAAATGGACTTTAAACTGCACAAAACAATCTAATCCATTTTGTAGCTGTAACAGCACACAATGATTTTAACTATGAATTATGTATGGTTTAAGTTGAACTTTCTTATGTATTTTGAATACTATAATTCAGGGTGGTCCAACCTTTTGGCTGCCGCATGTCACATTCCCTATTGGAGAAAGATCTGCAGGCCGCATCCGGCCCAAAACCATTTCCAACATTCCAATCCACCCCCTCCCTCCCTGGAGAATGTCTCTCCCCCTCCCACCATGCTCCCCCTCCCTCGCTGTCGCCCCTTGCTCCCCCTCCCCTCTGCCCCCCCTCTCCAACGCCTTGGCAGCCCAAAAATCTTACTGGTGCAAAGTGGGACCACTTTTCCATATGAACATGAGAAATGCTCGACGAAAAAAGACCAAGGTCCATCTAGTTCACCTTCCAGCTTCCTTGCGGTCGCATGGACATATTTCTTAAACTACTTATGTACTATATCCCATAATGTTATTTCCTAAAAGAAAACTTATCTCATTTGTGTTTGAAAGAATCAACTGTCTCCCTAGGGAGCCGGATAAGAACTCCTGGCAGAAACAAAGATAAGAATGAAGATAAGAACAAAGATAATCCCTTAGCCAGTTCTCTAAAGCAATACATACTAATCCTTGCGTTTGATATAGCGCTTTTCACGTCGGGAGGACGTCCCAAAGCGCTTCACAGAACACACTAAAGTGAATTGACTGTATATTTGTGGGCGAACGCGGCAGCCAATTGCGTACAGCAATGTCCCACAAACAGTCGTAGATTGAAAATGACCAATTTTTTTTATTATTGTTTTTGGTTTTGGGGGGATTATTATTAGGCTCTGTGTGGAGTAAGGAAACTTGCCCAAGGTTTCGCCCTCTGCCTGGAAATGAACTCAGGTCTCTCACTTGCAAAGCGAGTGCTCTAACCACTGAGCCACAGGACTCCACACAATGTATTGGGTCCAAAACACTGACTGTCCAGTGCTTTGGGATATCCTCCCACCATGAAAGGCGCTACACAAATATCATTTTATTGGTGTAGAAACATTGGGCTATAACTCATGAATAAGAAGCAACCATTGGAGTTACTTTTTGATTGGTCAACTGGTATTTGACACAGGCAACAACCCATTACCATGTTTAAGAATACCAAAAACAGACTGAGTTCCAAATCTATATGGCACCTATGCATGGAAAACGGTCTGGAAATGAAATGTCCACCATCTCCATGGACAAATGCACCTACTCAGCTTCAAAGAGACCCACTTTCCTCCCTCCCCTATACAAGGAAAGTTAGATAGCTGAATGATAGAGGCGGAGAAGTTGGCAGTTGCTGTAAAATTGTCTTTGGGATTGTCTTGAGGTGGGAGTGAGTGCCATTAGCAGAGATGGTGAGTGGCTTGCTCCATAAAGAACTTCTTTTTGCTACCAACAACATCTTACATATCCTACTGCAAATACGAGTTGGAGCTGAAAGTACAAAGACCATTGCATAATAAAATGGACCAATTGTTTACACATAAAGGCACTTTAATATTGGCGTTCCGATATAAAATAAGAAATCTTGCACAAATACCTCTCACATACAGACATCATATACAACTGCGTATAATTAAACAACTCTAAAAATATCAGCAAATGGAATTTTGGTCTAGTCTAAATTGTATTTGCTATCATTTTTACACACAAGTTGCTTTCTTGAAATAGAAGTGCAGCATATTAATTGTGCTTTAAATACTGTGTGGCTATAGTATACAACTATCAAGTTGAGCTACAGAACATGTCTCGTGACATGAATCTGGGTGGCACATTAATAGAGCGAGGAATAAGCTCCCTGTCACATCATGTAATTCTGTACATTCATCAAACCTTTCACAAAATTACATTAAAGGTAGTTTATATAATATACAAATAAAATACCTGGACAGAAAGTAAACTTAAAAAAAGCACGTCTAAGCAGATTCAAATAACAAAACAGCTGATTTCAGCTTCAGATCTTCTTTGGATGAAATATGACCTGGATAGGATCCCATATTATGTAAATATAGCTGTAAAGAAAAGAATATCTGTCAATTCGGTATGTATGGGGATCAAAGGATTAAAGATGAGTAAATTGTGAGAAAATGTACAGTATTGTCTTCATTTAAGACTATCTAAAACTATTCTATTGCAATTCGAAAGAATGGCAATTGTTGAGTTTCAAACAATCCCACATAAAACAACCACCCAACGCAGTCAATGTGGTGAGCAGGGGATCGCAGTATGATTCGCTACCATCAGGACAACAGGAAAAGAACAAATAGAGGAGAAAATATAAAGTTCACTTTGTTTATATCTGAAAAATTTCTTACTTGCTGGTTGAGGGTCACGATACATCTTGAAGTCCAGAAAGGCATTAATCCCAAAAAGTAATGTAGCTACAAACCCAAAGAACTGCAAAACAGAACAATGAAATTAGAAACAAAAACAGAAGTCACTGGGAAAATTCAGAGAAACAGAAATCGCTGTGTTCCCAGCGACTTCTGTATTTGTTTTCAGATTTGTAGCATCTGCAGTATTTTGTCAATGAAATTAAGAGTTTTTCTGAGGAACAGAAAAATTATAAAGTGCCAACCATTCATGACAAACATGCCCCTCCCTGCCTGCAATTGTTACAATGATGTTCACTTTTGCTCTAATTCATTAGGATTTTTTTCTTCCAGCATTTGGCCTGTAATGTACAAGCAATTTATGGGGTAAACTTTCTCTTGTTCCTGGGATTAACTGTGGTTGATGTTTAATTCTTATTGGGGTAGTACTATATTCAATCCCCTCCCACCCCCTATTACTGGATGGTGCTCTTCAGGCAATTTTATCATTTTATTACGTCACATCTTGACCACAAATATGTGGAAACTTCTGATTTCATAACTAACTACTTTTCTTGCGCATAAGTAATTTTGCAACTAAACACGTTATATAATAATAATCCTTGCATTTGATATAGCGCTTTTCACGTCTTCTAGACATCTCAAAGTGCTTCACAGAATATGCTGTAAAGTGAATTGACTGCATATTTGTGGGCGAAACGCAGCAGCCAATCGCACACAGCAGTGTCCCACAAACAGCCGTGGATTGAAAATGACCATTTATCATTGTTTTGTTTTGGAGGGATTATTATTAGGTGTGTGGAGTAAGGAAACTTGCCCAAGGTTTCGCCCTCTGCCTGGAAATGAACCCAGGTGTCTCTTATACAGGGTGACCAAAAAGTTTTATTTTTCAACTATCCTATTATCTAAAAAAAATCATAATTTCTTTAAGACTTAGACATTGGAATGGTATTATGACTTTTTGGTCACCCTGTGAAAATAGGGACCAATTCAAATATGACACTTTGTTGCTACTTACTACACAATCTTCTGCAGCAACTGATACAATACACAAATGAGAAACAAAATTTCGATGTAAGAACCAAACACATTGCAAGTTCCCACTAAGGGTATTTTGTATCACACCACTTGATAAATAAGGACTGTACAACAAAACCAATTTTGATACTTTGCCAAAACTTTTGCATCTATCCTGGTATTTCTGTGAAATCTTGAGCTTCATTCTAATATCTTTGTTTATGTAACGCTGTAAGTGGATAGAACTTTACAGCATGTGCATACGGTGTCTCTCTGGAAAGAGTTACGGGTTTAGTCCCATTCTCCAGTCTTTTCTCCATATTATCTCAGATAACCCTTTTATATTTCTCCTTTTCAGATATTTATCTAATTATCTTCAACAAGACATCACAAAGAGCTTCACAGGATTGCAACTGTGACTTTATAGGCAAACATGGTACAGCAATGCCCCACAATTGGCCATGATTTTATGTAGGGGATTGTTAGAAAGGACACCGGGAGAAAGTCTCTTTCCTTTTCATTGCCTTCTCTCCTTCCATTGGGATCCTTTAACATCTCTTCTGTAGGCCGGTACCTTTGACAATGCAGCTCTCTCTAATATTGCAATGCAATAGCAGAGCCTAAACATTCAGCTTAAAGTCTTGATTTAGGACTTGAACCCACAACCTTCTAACTTGGAGACAAGAGTGCTAACAACTGAGCAAGGCTGACACACATTCTGGCACAGTTTCAGAAATACACCATCTTAATGATGAATAATTTTGCTACAATATTTCAATCTAATAATGATTCTTACCGCCCCAGATGCCAATCCTGCAAAACCGTGACTGTTAGCTGCTGCAACAACTGAAGCAATGAACAGCAAAATTGTTGCAACAACATTGTGAAGAAATTCCTGCATTTAAATACATAACATGTTAGGAATGCAAAAAGAGAGGATTTTTTTAAGAAGACATTTTAACAAACAATAACAAAGATGTCGAAATTTATTACTGTAGACTCCATGCTAACAAATACTTTGTTGAACAAATACATACCCAGAACAAACTAAATTGCTAAGTGGACATGTAACTACATGGTCTCCAAAGATCACACAAAGCACTCTTGGATTAGATATACCTGTAATGTAGTGAACAACTATGCCAATCACCTCTAATTGTACATCTCCACTATTGACTAAATTTCAGGAAGACACAGGGATCAAATTAGTTTAAGATGTTTTTTCCATCATCAAAGTGCTTTCTTGAAAATTTGTCTGTCAACAGTTTGTCTGTAAATGTTAAATAGCCAGTAACATTTATTTTACAAACAGTCCCATGTTGGAAAACTTTAATCCTTTGAACTTTTATCTTTCTTATTTGTGGAGTACAACCAACCAATGTTGAGATACAGGTGAGTGAGTCCTGTGGTGTAAAAAAAAAGTACCCTTACTGCCGATTCCCAAATAATGAAATATTTTGCCCTTCAGAGTCTTAAAGATCTCCAAATTTCAAAAACATCCTAGAATAATTGCGAGTTCGAAGTTTCATTCCTTAGGAATAAACATCCTGCAGGCTTCAGGAAAGCCGCTGTCAAATTGAGGTCAAACATTGTATTGATTCAGGGGGATTTCTTCTCTTATTTCAGGTCGACTTGTTAAATCGAGCTCATTGGTATTATAAAGTTATTAGCTGTGTCTTAAAAATATATCTGTAGTGTCAAAAATATCTGTATCTTAAAGCAAATTAGCAGAAAGTATGAGATTTAGAATTAAATCCCGAAGATAATGCAGCAACTGCCCCTCAAACAAAATACAACGGAAGCCCCTACAGCCAGACACATCGGGACCCTCCGGCTGTTTTGTCCGGTTTAAGCAGCATCCCAGGTTACCCGAAGTTCCCTTGCCTCCTCCTGCCCAGCAGAGGAGCGGCGGCAGCACCTTCTCCCTTCCATTGACAGGAAGGGACCAATTAACAAAGGCTCCGAAGTGATTGACAGCCTCGGAGCCGCTTGCGAATGTTTGGGCTTCAGACATTCACAAGCACCTTCAGCTGTCAATCAATTGCAATTTGACTCCTCCCATTCCCTACCTGGTTTTTTTCCCTGTTCCTCCGCCCACTCACTGATTGACAGCCTAAATTCACTCGTGAATGGCTGGAGTCTCGGGTCAATCAATCACATTTTGACTCCTCCCATCTCCATCCATTCACAGAAGGCATGAGTGACTAGACGACCGTTGAGTGGCGACCAGCACGGCATTTTGTCCAAATTAACCAGAATGTTGTCCAAATTTACCAGCATATTTAAAACAGGTAACAATACAAATGAATAAGGGCTGGGCATTTTAACAGATTTGGCCCATGGCCAGGGGTTAACCGGCAACCAGCGAAAACGGATTCCACTGAATACTAATTCTTAAGATGGTGGGCAGAAGAAATTTGATAAGATCAAACCATCAGTGGTACAATTCCATCTGGTTATGAGGTTAAGATCACTCATGAGATATTTATATTGGCATCACTATCAACAATCAAATGCCTCTTGGTGAGGTTTGTTGCCCACAATTTGTTTTGCTCAGGGTGTCATTCATTGTGGCTGACCTGGTGATTGTGAATCTGGTTTAATATTTCCCCACAATCTAAAATGCAAACCTAATTCATTGCACTTCAACAATTTTAAAAATTCTCAGTAAATGTTCATTGTACGCAGGTTCCTTCCATATATTGGTTCTTATAATATACAATGTTATAAAATATAGATTATACTGTATCATTATCTAAGCCAGAGTGGAACCTCAGAAATGTACTTTTACAAATTCCTTTCTTTAACAACAACAAAATTATATTTGTAAAGCGCCTTTCACGTCAGGAAAACACCCCAAGCCGCTGAACTTTTGGAGATCAGGACCCGAGCATGGGCGGGCAGGGTTGAGATGAGGGAGGGTAGAGAGGCAGAAGGGCAGCTGAAGGCACAGTCAAAAAGGAGGGCCTTCAGTTGTGCCTTGAAGAAGCCAATAGAGGGAGCAAAGTGAAGGGATTGTTGAATGGAATTCCAAAGGGTGGGGACAGAGAGACTGAAAGTTGGTTCTCATCCAGGACTTGATATCAGACAGTCTGTCAGGACTTCAGTTGTCCTGGAATTAAGGGTGGAGGCAGAGAGAAAAGTTTGGTGTCACCTGCGTACACATCGAAGTTGACTCCATATCTATGGGTGATGCCACCGAGGGGCAGCATGTAGAGGTTGAAGAAGGGGAACAACATCAAAGCTTTGAGGAAGAGAAACCATTCTCACATAAGACTATGCGGGGGCTGGAACAGAAACCACTGGCGAGACAAATTGGAGATGGTTTGAGAGATAAGACCTGAACCATTCAAGGACAGAACCTTGAAGGGTGAGGTGAGAGGGGAGGCAGTGGGGGAGGTGGAGTGGTCCACAGTTTCAAGGTGGACAACAGAAGTTTCACTGCCCGTCACATAATAAATACTCAATGCAAAGGCTAGTGACGAAGAAAGAAAAAAAATAATTCTAAGAGTAACTTCAGCTTAACTTACAAATCAGGGAGAATGTATACAAGAAAAGCATCACAATAAATTAAACCTTGTTCACAAAGAGCTCCACCTTCATGCCCCAAAATGTACATTTCCATATCAATGTAAACAATGTATCTAATGTCAACTTTAAACTGTAGAACAGATAAATGGTCTAAAAACAAGAAACAGAAACACAGATTTACTGTAAATACAATGCCTAATTATCCAAATCTAATTTTTTAAAAATATTTAAATGAATACTTACTGTAAATGACCACTTTATACAAGTGATTTTCAAGTGGAGTCTTGTGAAGTAAATTAAGTAGAACATTAAAGCCATAATAAGAAACCATATAGCGACAATTTCAAAGTAACGGTAAGTTGAGTAGTTTGTCCACAATGAACAGTGCACACATACAAATGCTATCAACAGCACACCCTGCAACAAGAGGAAAGTCATTCTCAGGATTAAACTATAAACATTCTTCATAATAAATATAAAAGGAATGGCAAACATCTACAATGTATTAAATCAAACTGATGAGACCTACAATTATTTCAGAGCGTACAATACAACAAGATTGCATTTATAGAGCGCCTTTCAGGTCGGGAGGACGTCCCAAGGCGCTGGACAGTTGGATCGAGACCCGAGCAGGGGGGGAAATGGTCAGGGGGAGGGAAGGGAGGGAGCGAGGAGGGGGTAGAGAGTCGAGAGGGGAGGTGAAGGCACAGTTGTTCTATGAGGACATCGCTGTGCTTAGTGTGGATTGTAGAGTCGAGAGGGGAGCTGAAGGCATGGTCAAAGAGAAAGGTCTTGAGACCGGCCTTATTACATATTACATTAATCAATATTACATAGAAAACGTATACATTTGTGTTATGGGGTAAGATCTTTAATGTTACAATAACACTACGATCAACACCGGGGCATAGTTATCCTCTGATGACTATCAATATAATGTGGATCTGCCTTTAACTTGTATTTGCTCCTCTCAGAATTCAAATAGGTTTGGAAAATGTGACAAATTCCTTTTGAAGTCACATTACAGATCTTTATAACAGGGCTATTTAGATGATCATTGATTACATCTCATATTATGATCTTAAGCATTTCCACACTACTCATGAGGTTTGTGCCTTTCTGGGTTTATTTTGAATACTGACACATTGTAAAACTGACACATTGTAAACATATGTATCAATTCACCAACCATCCTCTGTACAACTTACAATATCAAAAAACTGTGCCCAAATCTTAACACTATTCTCAACTGACATTCACCTATTCAGGATGGCTCAAAGCACTTCACACAGGATTTACTGTAAAGTGTAGTGACCGTGTATTTTATAAGCAAACAGAGGGAGAAAGAGGTGCAGAATTAGAGTTATATGTATTTATACTAAAAAAAACATGTCTGGGAATATGGCAGAGTAGCTGAAACCGGTTGCATGCCCAATGTGTGCCATTTGGGAACTCCAGGATGCTTTATGTGCCCTGAACAGTTGCTCGACGGCTGCTCGAGCTTGAGCGCAGAATTTCTGAGCTCGAGGAGAGGCTGGCATCATTACATAGTGTACAGGAGGCTGAAGAGTTCATGGAACGTTTTAGGAGGTGGTCACCACACAGTCACACAGAATTCAGAAGGAGAGTGAGTGGGTGACCACCCGGCATGGTAGGAAGAGGGGTCAAGCAGTGCAGAAATCCCATGAGAGTGTGGCACTCACAAACCAGTTCTCTGTACTGAATGATAACACTTCTGGGGAGGGGAGTCAAAACAAATAGATGCACAGAGGGACACAGGGAAGAGTGTCAATGCAATTGTTATGTATTTATGTATGGGGACACAATAGTGAAAGGAATGGACAGGCGTTTCTGCAACCAAAGACGTGACTCTTGCATGGAACGTTTTCTCCCTGGTGCCAGGGTTGAAGACATCACAGAATAGGTGCAAAACCAAACACAATAATAAATTGGTCATTTTCAATCTACGACTGTTTGTGGGACATTGCTCTGCGCAATTGGCTGCCGCGTTTGCCCACAAATATACAGTCAATTCACTTTACAGTGTGTTCTGTGAAGCGCTTTGGGACGTCCTCCCGACGTGAAAAGCGCTATATCAAATGCAAGGATTATTATTATTATTATTAAGGGGAACATCCAGAAGTCGTGATCCATGTTGGGATCCATGACGTAGGGAAAAAAAGGGCTGAGATCCTACAGGGAGTGTCAAAAGTTGAAGAGCAGAATCTCAAGGGTGGTGATCTCTGGATTATGGAGAGAGAGCCGGGGAGTGGGATTGATTTGGATAGCTCTTTTCAAAGAGCAAGCAGAGACAGGATGGGCTGAGTGGCCTCCTTCTGTGCTGTATAATTCTACGATCCTATGATAGACATGGCGCAGAGCAGTTGGAAGACAGACAGCAGCTAGTCCAGCCCTTCCTAAAATTCCACCCGTTCTCAAATTTTAACAACTTAAACAAAGATATAACTGATTAACAACAACAACAACTTGGATTTATAGAGCGCCCTCCACGCCGGACGGCGTCTCAAGAGCACTTTACAGTAATAGATCCAGGGACCGAGCCACGGGGGGAGGGGAGAAGGTGACGAAAGGCGCGGTCCAAAAAGAAAGGTTATGCAATTAAACCACATTGGGTTTTTTCGAAAAAAAAGTGTGGAAACTTTTGACCTGAAACTGGAAACCAGACGATGCCGCACCGAGAATGTTAAGCTTTTTGGCAAACACTGTGCAGATTTTTTTTGTAAATAAAAAAATATATTTGAAAATAACACCCCCCCTCCCTCCCCCCCCACCACCACCACCACCAAAAAAAAATAAAAGTAAACCCTGGTCAAAAGCAAAACGAAGGCAGCAAAGAGAGCAAATTGAAAGTTAAAGCTAAGGGAGGCGCCCCCTCCCCTCCTCCCCTCCTCCTCCCTCCAAGTGCAGCCTTGGCTTCCGTTATTCCAACTTCCTCAATGGTGGAGGGGTTTGCAGAGAGAGGGAGAAAGTGAAACCTACCGCTTGAATAAGCTTCAGAAAGCCATCGCTGGATTTCATGTAGTTTCTGTCTATGCAACTGGTGGTGCTGCTGGTGGTGGTGGTGGTGATGGTGGTGGTGGTGGACTGCTCCATACTCCCTCCCTGTCTCACCATCACTCACACAGGGACCTCGCGCGCCTCTCCCGGGCACCCCCTCCCGATGATTGACAGCTGCACCGGATCCCTCACCGCGCATGCGCTGATGGCTCCCCCCCCCCAGGAAATGAAATGAAATGCTATGTTTCATTTAAATTGGTCATTTTCAATCCACGACTGTTTGTGGGGCATTGCTGTGCGCAATTGGCTGCCGCGTTCGCCCACAAATATACAGTCGATCCGCTTTACAGTGTGTTCTGTGAAGCGCTTTGGGACGTCCTCCCGACGTGAAAAGCGCTGTATCAAATGCAAGGATTATTATTATGTTCAACAGAGTCGGGGTGGGGGTCGGGCAGCGAAACTGGGACTTGACCCACAAAACGCTCGGCCGGTCCATGCAACGTGTTCCGTGAAGCGCTTCGGGGCGACGCGCGCTGTATCGAGTGCAAGCGCCGTTATTATTATTATTATTTTGCGACGTGTCACGTTCGGCGAACCTCCCGTTTCGCTTTCAGCAGCCAACCGCCAGCCTCGGTGCTGTCGCTGGAACGGGAAATGCAATTGAAGGCGGTCGTGGGTTCGAGCCCCGTTTCCAGGACTGTGAACTCGGCAGTTTAGGCTGACGCTCCGGTGCGGTATTGTGCTGTTGGGAGATGCCGTCCTTTGCCTGAGATGAGGGTTTCTCCCAGTTGTTCTGGCCAACATCCCTCACAGCTAGGGTGGTCCTAGCTAGATAAACAGACAGTGCTTTCAATGGCAAGCTACAATAATAATAATAATCCTTGCATTTGATAGGTGGGAGTCCTGTGGCGTATGGGTTAGAACACTCGCCTCACAAGCGAGAGGACCTGGGGTTGATTCTCAGGCAGGGTGAAATGGTAGGCAAGTTTGCTTACTCCACATGCCTCCTTCAAGGCATACCTCAAGACCCTCATCTTCGACCGTGCCTTCGGCCACCCTCCTAACATCTCTGCCTTCCACCCTCCCTGATCCCAACCCACCTGGATTTTTCCATTTCCACCACGTTGTCCACCTCCGTCCGTACTTCACAACTGACACAGTTGAGGTACGGACGAGGTGGACAACGCGGCTTTCGTCATGTCCTCCTAGCTGGTCTCCCCAGCTCTACCGTACAGAAAATCCAATTAATTCAAAACTCCACCACCCAGATATTCAACTGCTCGAAACTCGTACCCCCATCACACCCTGCCAAGCTCCACTGGTTCCCAATCACTGAACAGATCGACTTCAAGATCCTCTCATGCGTTTTCAAATCCCTTCATGCCCTCGCACCTCCCTACTTATCCGAACTGCTTACCCCCCATTTTACCACCCACTGCCTCTGCTCATCTGGCTCCGACCTTCTGTTTGACCCTCATAACCCTCCACTCCACCATCGGTGGCCGTGCCTCCAGCCACTACGCCCCAGAACTCTGGAATTCTTTTCCTCCATCCCTCTGCCTTCAAATTCCATCTAAAGACCTTCCTTTTTGATCGTGCTTACGGTAAGCTCCCACCACCCTCTCCCCCTGACTTATCAGACTCCACCACTGTGAAGCAAATTTTCTTATGCGGTGTCGTATGCAAATTTGCTGCAAAAATACCCCCAATGGAAATATTATCTGCTTCATTAGTATTCTGTTATTGTGAGCTGGTTTCATAATAATTAATTCCACAATAAGAGGCTTTGCCAGCTTCATTTTTCACTTATGTTAAATCATTGTGTGTAAAACTTGTAGGCACGATACACTACTAAACACACTACTGAAATATTTTGGTGGTAAACCAGAGTAAACCCACTTATAAAAATGAAGCATTAGATGCAGAGAATTTAGGATTTAACAATAACAACAACAATCGTATATAGGATTTAATTCATGTCTGTTCATTTCTAGGCTCCTGGTGTGATATAAATTTTCTCAACAAATTTTCCCCCCTCCCCCAGATTTATTTCTTAAGAATGTCTACTCCGGTGTGTTTGAGAAAAATGCTCCTTTCCCGCATTGAATAGTTTCTACACTATCTTGTAATGGACTGATTCATTGTTTCAGAAAGGTTCTTTTGATGAGTTTATTCTGGAGTAAACTTCCAGCTCTCTCTCCTCCTTTGATTCATTACAAAAACTAGGATTAGATACATGGACAGATTTATGTCCATGTTTTATCTGACACAAAAATTGTATAAATTAATTCAAATTCTACTTTACTTTGCAAATGGAGCAGACTGTTTTTCTGGAAGCAGAAAAATTAATAATCCCAATCCTTGTTTTTATGTAGCTCCTTTAACATATTGTCAAAACATCTCAAAACATTTCACAGAAATAGATTTTAATTTAATACATTAAATTCCCAAAGTAAATAAACTGGCTTAGTTAATGCTACTAGCAAACCAGCAAACTGTAATGTGTATTTTTATGTTTTTAGTTTATGCACAGTATCTCTGGAATGAATATAATAGAACTATTTATTTACTTTTATTGTGGAAGTGGCCAAATTATTTCCAAGTTCTCTACAGTCTGACGCTCCAAAGGCAAAGTTTAACAGTTTGCTTCAACTCCTTCCATTTGTTTGAGATAACAGAAGTGGGACAAATGTAACCAGTACTAAATGATACAATTGTAACCAGCCATGAGAAAAGGTTGATTCACAAATGTTACATTTTAATAAATGGAGCTGTACAACACTCAAGTTTAATACAGGCAAAACCATCGCTGTATAACACTATTTTGTTTACGAAATGTGGACCATACAGTAAACCTATCGTCCGGCACTATCTAACCAGCCACACATGTTAAAACATGGCCAACTTCCTTGTTGTCGAGGTCAGGGTTGATTACCACTGATGTAATTTTCTTCTGCATTTTGCAGCTGCCTCCTAAATACCGCAAACACTTCCTGCATTCTTCACATGGATGCTATGAAATAAAATACAATTTACACTTAAGTACCACCCTTCACAATAGGAGGATGTTAAAAAAGCGCATGACATTCTTCCTGGGCACCTGAGCTGAGGATGGGAGCTGAGGAGGGGAAAGTGACCGAGTTAACAAGGTATGTTTTGAGGCGTATCTTGAAAGAAGGGAGGGAGGGAGCAACTCGGAGGAACTTGGGAATGGAGTTCCAGAGAGGCAATGCTACATAGCTGAAAGTCTGTCTGCCGATGGTGGGTTAGAGAGCGCGGAGACTCGGACCGGAGTAGGCCAATGTCAGCCCGAGTGAACGGAACAGCTGGGTTGGTAAACAGTGCTATACTCAGCAAGTTATGTCAGTGACAACCTAATGATCCACTAGTTGGACATTTTTTCATGCTTTGCTTATAGTAGAATCTCTAGATTCTGAGCTATTGGTCCCAGAGAACACTTTATAATGATGTTCCCAGAATGTAGGAATTAGTAGAACGTAGAATTCCCTAAACCTCTATCCCAGGGATGCAATTTGAGGCCTGAATTCCAGTCTGACACTTTCTAGCACACCCAAGAGGCCTCAGACCTGGGGCACTCACTTGGTAAAAAGCTAACTTGTGTAACGTTAATTTGTGTAGTGAAAGTGTGAGAATATTGTTCCTTCTTGGCAGATCAACCCTGTAAAAACATTAACAAAACAAACCTTGGAAGCCATTGTATAGTTTACATTTGCACTTGATTTGTTTCAAAATGAAATCCATAATAGCAACAAGGATCTGAAAAGGTACAAACCATGTACTTGAAGGTGTGTTGCCACCTAGTGGTTGATGTTTAATGTCAAAGATAGTTATGAAAAGTCATTAACTTTATCCTCCATGGGTCTTAAGGCTAAGACCGTGGGATATTTGGGACCTGCTGGAAAGTTCATATTGACATTATATCTAACAATGAACATTTTTTTTATCCTCCTTTTCTCAATTCTAGAAATAGTTACCACGCAGCATGATACATATATGTTAGGGTTTTGGCCCAAAGGGCTGGGGACATGCAACACCTTCAGATCCAATTGGTGAGTCAGATGAGGTGGTCAACCATCAACAGTTCCTTGGATTACAATAGATATGTTTGGCTTTACCAGAGGGAACTCCTCAAAGCAGGTTCAGTCATAGAACCATAGACTTCCACCACATAGAGGAAAGCCATTCAATCTCTTGTGGCTGTGCTGGCTTCCTCAAGAGCAAAACTTTCAGTTCCACTTACATGCCTTTTCTCCATATTCGCGTAGCTGACTCTTTTAAAGGTTTCTGTCTAGTTCCCTCTTGAAGGTCCTTATTGACTTTGCCTCAACTACCACTCCTGGCAGGGCAATCCATATTCTGACTACTCTGTGTTTGTGAAAAAAGGGTTGTTCATTTTATCAACCTGGAAGAGTGAAGAGCTGATCCCACATCAACTTAAAATTAGTACCATGAAGAAGATGGGGGGGGGGAGCAGTACTGCTTACAGTAATAATTTGGATGGTGTCCTTGTTCTAAAGACACTTTCTGAAATTATTTTCACAGAAATAGTGAGTTTGCTCAGTAATGCATCATAGCAATGATTCCTTAGCAACTAATTTAAAATGACTTGAAAGTCAGTTTTCCATGGTTTGTTGAACTTACAGTCTAGGCTACCACTCCAGTGCAATGCTGGACCAATCTATCACAGGTTTCTTTCTTCAGGTAAGGTGTTAAACTGAGGTCCCGTGGGCCTGTTCAATTGGTCTGGCCAACAATCTCCCAGATAAAACTGTCCATTCACTTCATGGCTGTTTGTGGTTCACTGCTTTGTGCATATTGACCACAATGTTCACCTACAAATAGGCAACTCTAAATCCCGTCCAAGGCTTTGAACATCTTGATGGTATGATAAGGCATTGCATTAAATGCAAGGATTATTATATTTTGTAAACTTGCATTCACAATCCAAGAAGACAGAAGTACACTGTGGAGAAGTGGTCGCAGTGAGATTTATGATCAAGAGGGCCTCCACTTTAAGGCCATTGAAAATGTTTCTTTTAAAAAGTAACATGAAACCAAATATAAAATATTTTAAAATAAAAATCCTGAAGACCTTCCTCTTCGACTGTGCCTACGGTCACCTTCCCCCTCCCCCTGGCTCGGCCTCAGTCTCCGCCATTGTTAAGTGCTCTGAGACACCGACTGGCGTGGAGGGCGCTATATAAATGCAACTTATTGTTGTTGTTGTAAGCCACATTGTGAAATCAAATGAGTGAGACTTGGCAGACCTGCAGGATTGCATATATTCCACCAGGGAGATTTAAACGTCATTACTTAGATTTCAGACATGCATTCTGTAACAAGTGCCAGCTTTTAAATAAACACTTCACTGAAAGCTATATGACAGTTCCATTTGGCTTATTTCTTATCGGTAAGTTATTTGTAAGTGCTTCAAGACGCTATGCTAAGTGAAAGGCGTTTATAAATGCAAGTTATTGTTGTTGTAATAAGGAATTTCCCATTGATCAACAGGAATTTTGCCAGGATTCCCTTTTGTGGAATTCTGTGGAGAACTAGAGGGCTTTTGGAACTTAATCTCATTGAATCCGGGTTGGCTTAGTCTACTGTGGACCCACACTATTAATGGTAGCACAGTATCCCTGGCTCCTGGCACTGACTAGTCGGTATCCCCGCATTGCAAAATAGTCGACTTTCGAAATTTCAGTTCATTGTTGACATCAGTTTTTTACATATTCCAAAGTGTGAACAGGAAGCTTTGCTGATATCACTTCCTGCACACTTATGTGCAGGACGTGCTATTGATGTCCTCAGTTCAGTTACTGAATGAGGAGCCTTGAGGTGCTATTACCTGTCTTCCAATCATAGTAATAATACTAAATAATAATAATAATCCTTGCATTTGATATAGCGCTTTTCACGTCTTCTCGACGTCCCAAAGCGCTTCACAGAATATACTGTCAAGTGAATTGACTGTATATTTGTGGGCAAACGCAGCAGCCAATTGCGCACAGCAATGTCCCACAGACAGTCATGGATTGAAAATGACCAATTTATTATTGTTTTTGTTTTTTTGGAGGGATTATTATTAGGCGTGTGGAGTAAGGAAACTTACCCAAGGTTTCGCCCTCTGCCTGGAATTGAACTCGGGTCTCTCACTTGCAAAGCGAGTGCTCTAACCACTGAGCTACAGGACTCCACAAAGTAAGCATACATCCTATTTAGCAATCACAGAGTACTGGCAATAGTTCTAATAGACAATTGCAGCCCCCCCCCTGCCATGGACACGGAGGCTGTGCAGAGATGAGCACGGTGTGAATGTGTAGTACAAATTACGAGCAGCCACATTGTGAAGAAAAAAGTTACAACTTGATATTGATGGTGGCAAAAGGGTCTGACTGTGGCCAATACTGTAGAGATAGATGGATTGACAATTGGCTTGCTATGCTGCAAGTGCAGCATTTCTCCCACACAGCCACGGAATAGTTCTCAACTCAAGAGTTTCAGCTTTCACAGCTGTTTTTGGCTACATATTGGTCAGTAGGCCCAAGGCAAACATAAGAGAAAAACCAAATGGGTTAAAAAATAATTTATCAGCAAACATCGTGTGCCACAGTCATGATTTCTGATGGTAACAACCTGCTCACAGTGAGAGAGGAGAAAAGGAAGGGAACAGTTCAGAATTTTTTTATAACAAACCATACATTCACAAGCTACGCAACACAAACTAATCCCTACAATGGGGGGGAACTGGACATCACCACATTTTAGATGCCATGGTCAGCAAACTGCTTTCCACAAATAACTGAGAACTTTGTACAAAGAGCAGTCACAACAGCAATGATACGTAACAAAGCTTCTCCAATGTTTAGTAGCACAAGAATGACAGTGCAAGAGGACATTTGGCCATTGAGCATATGCTGGTGCTAGCTCCTGCCTTGTATTCTTGTATTACTAATTGGGAACGCATCACACACAAAGTAGAATTCAGTGGTAAAATCGTGGACCACTTTGACACTTTTTGAATATATTAAACAAAAAGATAAGTTCACAATCTAATGTAATAAGTAGATTTTTCAACAGCATGTCTTAAATAAACTGCTGGAATGTAACTAACAAATGGAATGTAACTAACACTGAGCCAAATTAGCCACCATAATAGTGCATCATCTTCACAAACTTTCACTTCTAAAGGGGACTCTTCAAATTTCATTTGTCCATGGTATTTCTTTCCAGTTATCAAGAGATGGTTTCAAAACACTTTCATATTAAGGGCCTTCGTCCTTGGATCTCCAAGTCTGAAAACTAAGAAATGTATTTCCAGAATAGCAGAGCGTCACAATGAAAGCGAAAAACTGTAAGAGAGAAAAAATGCATTTCAGTTCATTTAAACTTACTGAAATATACTATTTTTGATAATAATTGTTAAAATATGCATGATCAGGTTGTATCAGCTAATGGTATAATAATAGTAATAATGATAATAATCCTTGCATTTGATATAGTGTCTTATCACGTCATTGAGATGTCTCAAAGAGCTTTGCAGAATATACTGTAAAATGAATCAACTGTAATATTAAAGCAAGATAGGCTGAAAACTAAATAACAGCGTAATTATGTTATCTTTGAAAAGTAACATACAGTACAGTGTAATATTATTATTTTAACATAATAATTCCTGTTATTTTCTGTTCAAGATCCTCGGACAAACGGAGACAAACACTGGGGGTAGTAAGCTCCTGGACAACTTGGCAAAAGGAAGGTGCAGAGAATTCAGCTACGGAGTGAGACTCCACATGACCCTCAATCAGCCCAAGGTGAAGAGTAATTCATCAGAAGATCTCACTGACTCCAGCACTTACTGGAATATAGTCAGTTTGGAGCAGTTGTAGTGGCAAATAGGGGTAAATGTTTCAACCTGTTTGACGCACCCTTGGAGCTCCAACTAAGATATAACAACAACAACATTACATTTGCATAGTGCCTTTCACATTGGGAGGACGTCCTTTAGAAGGAAATAGTTACCTCCTGATAACTCCACCCTGGATTAACCACTTAAGTCATTATGCTGTCAATATTCAAGCTGCATTTATTTATGTATACATGCCTAACTCACCACTCCTGATAACTTGTCAATGAGGCTTTTTCACTTGGAGCAATGAGTTATCAGGAGTTTACTGGTTATGATCACTCACCGAAGATGCTGCCCAGTTATTGTAGTTCAAAGAGCCTTGAGCAGCCTGTTTAACTGAAACTGCGTCCACAATAGAGGCAATAAGGTAAAACAGAGCAGCACTGGCGTTAAAGCACAAACCCTGCAATTAAAACAGATTATTATTAACGTAAAACCAGTGTGGTTAAATGTATAAATTATTACATCATGTAAAAATAGATACATTTCTCTCAAGGTAATTTAATTTCTCAGTATCTAAATGGCCGGGGTTCAATGGCAATGTGGATCTCTAAAGGCTTCTGTTACTTTTTTTCCAAAAGAAAGACATGATGAAGAAAATCAACAAGATTTTGGGATTGATAGCTGTTAGGTATTATATATCTGGATGATTGGCACTGATTATCCTTTCCAGTGTGAAAAACCTATAAGATTTTGCAAACAGAATCAAGGAATATTGTACTAATGCAATGCTTTACGTTGTATTGCTGTAATATCACAGTAGGTCACTAGGTGGGACTGTAATCCCACTTTGAGACACAAATGTACAGGGGGTGGAAATACCATAATTAGCACATTGCATCAACCCCACAAATGATGATATCACCCGTGCTAATTAGCATGTCAACTAATAATATGGTCAAAAGGAATCAAAGGGCTTCATTGACAGGGGGATGGTGGGTGGGGTATTTAAAGGCCAGTGATTATTCATTCCTTTTGAAACAACAAATTATCTTTTTTAGTTGCCTTCATATAGGATAAAGATCTAAGAGCACTTCACAAGGATGGGGTTAGACAACAATAATAATTTGCACTCATGTGGGATATGGGGATAAGGCAGGGCAGGAGGATTGAATGAACACCTTGCTCTGAGAACCAGGGCAGATTTGATGGGCCGAATGGCCTCCTTCTGCACTCTGAATTTCTATGATCATATATATATATATACAGATAGCTTTCACACAGGAGAATCTAAAGACCGATACATAGATGGAGTTAGAGCCCACACTGAATAGAAGGTAGGAGGTGGGATTTCATAGGCAAGAGGTGGTCAAAGTGGTAATCAAAGAGATAAATCAACTACATTTTTAATAGATGTGAAATTACTGGTGTGGGTGGCTTCAGTGTGTGGGACTAAGGAAATAAAACAAATCAGGATTCCTCCTCTTGATCACTTAGCTACTAACGTACCCTAGAAAGTGTGAGTAAGGAAACTTGCCAATGGTTTCGCCCCACCCGGGAATCGAGGCGCGTCAGCTAACCACTACGCTACGGGACACACAATTATCTGATGGTTGTTATGCAATAGCTATTTTAAAAATTCTAACCGTACATTTAACTATATCTTTCAAATTTGTATGTGACACATCGCTTGCTCTTATGTCAGATACAAGCCATAAAATGGTTGTCAAAATCCATCTTCTGTGTGTTTTGTTTTCTTGTGCTTTTAGTGACATGATCATAGATCACCAAGGCACATCCATAGAATGATTAAGATTTAACAGGGAAGCCACAAGTTAGCAACGTCGGAGTCCTGTAGCTCAGTGGTTAGAGCACTCGCTTTGCAAGCGAGAGACCTGAGTTCAATTCCAGGCAGAGGGCGAAATCTTGGGCAAGTTTCCTTACTCCACACACCTAATAATAATCCCTCCAAAACCAAAAACAATAATAAATTGGTCATTTTCAATCTACGACTGTTTGTGGGACATTGCTGTGCGCAATTGGCTGCCGCGTTCGCCCACAAATATACAGTCAATTCACTTTACAGTGTGTTCTGTGAAGCGCTTTGGGACGTCCTCCCGACGTGAAAAGCACTATATCAAATGCAAGGATTATTATTATTATTATTATAACGTCAGATAAAGGGAGGATCTGGCTTGACTGTGAAGTTCTCCCATGGTTGGACAGTCTGACAACACGTGAAAAAGGCCACTTGAGTCACTGTAGTTTTACCCCAGTAGCAGTCAAGGCCTTCGGGAGAGGATGGAAGAAAACTGGAGTAAGACGAGGGGGATACTTTTATAAACTTCCGCAGAGGATAGAGAAATGCCAACTGCAACACCCTGAATTTATATAATGCACTTCACATAATAGGATAACGTCTTGGAGTCAAAGATGCAGGTTTAGAGGCAGGACTTGAAAGAATCTAGAGAGAGAGACAGAGACAGAGGAGTGGGCAGAGTTCCAGAGGAGATGAGCCAGGTGTGAACTGTAATAAAATGTTAAGAGCACTCACCACTGTAGTCCAGGGCACCTGTGGTATCTTGGTGTAAGCCGCAGTGATGTAGAAGATCAAAAGGAAGACTGTAAGCACCCAGTAGAAAACTGCCACAAACATTACCCAGCCAAAGGCGGAGACGGCAAAGTACTCAGTACCGGCTATTAACGCCCACACCAACAGGCCGAAAACCTGCAAAGAGTTAAAAAAAATATTTTCAGTTGCAATTTTCTGGAGTTTGTAGATTCCAGCACGGTGGAAGAAGACGGTGCATAATGTATATCCAAAGTATCCATGGGTCAGTGTTTGACGCATATCCACTTACCTTTAAGTGCTTTGAGGCATCCTCTCCACATGAAAGGCACTATATGAATATAACTTGTGTTGTATTGTACCATTGATGAGATTAAATATTGGAGAATCCCATTTGTGCCTCCTGCATTTTTTACCCTGTGATCTGAAGATGGGCAAAGAGGAACCAAGGAGGAGAGATTGACGCTGGGAGTTTGGGGCGCAGTGGCTGAAAGCACAGCGATCGATGGTGGATGTGCAGAAAGCCCGAGCTGGCTGAGCAATGGGGGCGAGTAAAGGAGAAATTTGGTAGGCAAGAAACAGGAGAAGAAACAAAAAAAAACCTAGCTAACCAAAAGTTGAAAAAGGTACATTAGCAGATCAGAAATTACAAAGTGCTACTTTAATCTTAGAAGTGCATTGATATAAATAGCAATGTCCTATATTCAATTTTAACGTTGGTTAAGTTAACCTTGGATATCCAAATTATTTAATTTAAAAAACAAGGCTGCTGACAGCCCAAGGGTGTAACTGTACTGTAGCTGGATACTGCTGTTGTATACTGTCTGTTTCCAATAAAAGACCTTCCTGACAAATGACTGAGAACGTTGCCAAGTTTTTTTTTAAAACATTTAGTTGAAGGAAATGAATCTTTGAACACTACCCCTTTAATTACAAGGTCTCCACTTTACATCTTGGAGAGACTTCCTGGAGAGAAAATGATCCAACAAGTTTTTATTTACTGCTGAAGGCTTCCTCCATTGTCTGCATGGGTTAGAGTGACACTGTCGAGACAGATTCCAGCTGGTTTATGTTATTAACATGATAATAATCATTGCATTTGATATGGGATATATTACACAGGAAGATGACTCAAAGGTATAGTATCTGTGCATTTTATAAGCAAACATGGCAGCCAATTTGCATACATCGATGTCCCACAAACAGCCATGAAGTGAATGACCAAAATGCTTCACAGAATATACCGTAAAGTGAATTGACTGTGTATTTTGTGTTCAAAACACAGCAGGCAAATTCGCACAAGTGTCCCACAAAGTCGTAGATTCAGTGACCAAATTATTATTATTATAAACATTTTTTTAAGAGATTATTACCGCTGGAGAGTGATTCGCTAATCGACTAACAACCAGGTTCCTACCTACTGCTAAGTAAACAGAGGCATGTGGAGTAAGGAAACTTGCCTAAGGTTTCGCCCCGCTGGTAATCAAACCCATGTCCTCTCGCTTGTGAGGTGCGTGCTTTAACCAGTATACTACAGTACTCTGTCTACATAATGGAGACTAGTGAGCACTGGAGTGATGGGCATGCGAAGTTTGGTGTGAGTGAAAATGCAGGCGGTGAGTTTTGGATGAGCTGCAGCACAGAAAGCCTGTTCTTTTGTAAAATGGAGTTAAGCAAAGCTGAGTTTGTTATTGCTCAGTGTTGGATAATGTTGGATTTATTTGTTACTTTCGTGTTGTCAGCCAGGGAGTCTGACATGTGCAGAAACCTCATGAAGTGGTTAAGAGACTCTAGTTTCTTTCTAGTTTGAGAAGTCATAAAAGCAGAGTTTCTCTTTGCCAGTTTTGGAGTGTGCAATTTCTCCCCAGAGGGAGACACACCTCAGTTGACTGTGCCAAGGTGTGGGTTGGCAGGGCAACTACAGTTAGTACTAAAAAGGTCATACAGAATCATGGAATCCTAGAGTTTACAGCACAGGGACGGTCTATTTAACCTGTCAACACTGCACTGGCATTCCACTCCACACAAGCCAGCTAATTTATTCTGATCAAATCTGCTTCATTCACCCACCAGTTCTGGTTCTCCATCAGGCCTCCTCCCCCTCTCCCCCTCCCCAGCGAAATAACACTGCTGCCTCTCATGCTACGCAATCGAATATCAGATTCCAGTCAACCGCCTCTGCTGGTCTCAGTAGTCCAGTGCCTCAACCAGGCATGTCTGATAATAGGCTGGCCTGGTCCAAGTCATTGGCAAGACTTGGATGGGCTGACGATAATAATAATAATAATAATCCTTGCATTTGTTATAGCGCTTTTCACGTCAGAAGGACGTCCCAAAGCGCTTCACAGAATATACTGTAAAGTGAATTGACCGTATATTTGCGGGCGAACGCGGCAGCCAATTGCGCACAGCAATGTCCCACAAACAGTTGTAGATTGAAAGTGACCAATTTATTATTGTTTTTGGTTTTGGAGGGATTATTATTAGGCACTGTGTGGAGTAAGGAAACTTGCCCAAGGTTTCGCCCTCTGCCTGGAATTGAACTCAGGTCTCTCGCTTGTAAAGCGAGTGCTCTAACCACTGAGCTACAGGACTCCACATGCTCCCCGCCCTCCCCTAAAAAAATGCTGGCAGAATATCACCCACCACCCCCCCCACCCATGTCTGCTTTTGTTGACTAAAGGAGCAAGCTGTAATGTGCCCATCCTCCCGACCCACCAATCACGCACACACAGCCCTTGTGATGATGTCCCCCCCCCTCCCAAAAGGCGAGATTAATGCTGATTTCTGAATGCTCTGCAGTGAAACTTTTTTTCCAGCGTTTTTCTAATTCTATCTCTACAAATCATTCCCCTCCTCCACTCCCCACCCCCCCGTGCCCCCCCCACCACTACCACAGCCCCTCCCCCCCGCCAGAAATCTCCAGCATGGAGGAGCTCAATAAATAAAAGTGGAGCAGAAAGGAGGAGGGGGCGGTGCGGAATTACATTGTTTAAGACTTTGCCTGTCGGACGGGTGCGGGTGGGATTGGGGAAAACAAGCGATGGGACTGGAATTCTTTCCACTCGACTCCTGTTAACTCTGCAAACTACAGCCCTAACGGGTATGATGGTCCCAGCTGAACAAGCAGAGAGAAGCTTGCCAGACAGTGCTCTCATTGGTTTTACCTGGATAAACTCCAATTATACCTTAATGTACACTCTGGCCTTTGCAATGAACCTTGCCAACCTGTGACAGAATTATGTATGCAGTATACATTCCTCTAGGGATGGACTGCGCACTCCATTCCAGACTGGGAACTTTCCATGTGTAGGTTGTGTACATATGCAGATCTCTATGTCTGGTCTGGATAATCTTAAGCATAGTGATGGGTTCCACATGTGTTAGATACCCAGCTGACAAAAAACAAAGTTTTGTCTGTACTGGTACTGTATGGGCTACATTCATCTCCCTCCACCCCACAGAATTACCTACACTAATCTTACTGTCCTACTCCCCTACCCATTAATATTTTTCTTCAAGTATTCATGCAATTTGTTTTTAGATCATGTTATAGACTCAACGATTATAATAATAAATAACAATCGTCGCATTTGATAGAGCGACTTATAATGTCATTGAAATGTCTCAAAGGGCTTCACAGCATATTCTGTAAAGTGGACTGACTGTATATTTATATTGTTTGACTGTGGATTGTGTGAGGGTTACCCATGTATGAGTTGAATGTGAAACATAAAATAATTTTTTTAATTTTAAATGTTGTCCATTTTTCGGCTCTCTTGAAGTCATTGCCTCACTGATGCTAGCAGAATAAGGTCCGAAGAGCAGCATTCTAACAATATAAAGTCTCTGGCTAGTCATAATTCGTAGGGTCTTTTTGGAACTGAACTGGCTCCAACGTGATGCACTTGGCAACAGAATGTTTGACTCGAATCAACCCTCTAAGGCGGACTTGGTAGTCCAGTTCCTGAGCCAAGCAGATCTGCAGTTCACTGTTGATACCAGACTAGCAGTCTGGTTCATCGACAGTTCGTGGAGGGCAGAACGATTACTGAGGCAGGGATTCTTCCCATTCAGCTCCTGATAACCCTGCATTCAAAATCCCTAAAGGATAAGTTGGTCCTAGCTGGACAAGCTGCAGGAAGTTTATCCCCTTTTTTTACGGTCAGCCGGGTGACACATGCGGAAACTATCACTATGCTTAAGAGCATCCAAACCAAGCTGAGAATGTCATGCATCCCACCTACACATGAAAACCTCAGAGATATTTGTTGGAATGGAATGCGCACTCTCTCCCGAGAGGGACGCATTCTGATTATGTAATTCTGGAAAGTATTAGACACAGGTTGGCAAGAGCCAAGGTTTGGGAACCCCAGCATGTGTGTTGGGGTGCTGCTGGAGTCCAACCAACTAAAACCCCATAGCTTGCCATGGTTAACACTGTCTGACAAACTTTCCCACTGCCTGCTACCTCTGAGGTACTGAGTGCTCTAAGATAGGGGCTGTCTCACTAAAATGCATCTTTGCCTCTTTGCCTCAGGCGCCGACACCATCAGCATCCAAGGCTGCACTCTCCACCTCTATCGGTGGTCGGGCCTTCAGCCTCTCAGCCCCGAGGCTCTGGAACTCCATCCCCCAGTGCCTTCGCCGCCTCCTCCCTTTCCTCCTTCAAGGCCGGTCTCAAGACCCTTCTCTTTGACCGTGCCTTCAGCTCCCCCCTCCCCCTCCCTCCCTCCCCCCTCACCTCACCCTGACCATTTCCCCCCTCCTCTCTCCCTCCCTTCCCTCACCCTGACCATTTCCCCCCCCCTCCCTCCCTTCCCTCCCCTCACCCTGACCATTTCCCCCCTCCTCGCTCCCTCCCTTCCCTCCCCTCACCCTGACCATTTCCCCCCTGCTCGGGTTATGACCCAACTGTGCAGCGCCTTGGGACGTCCTCCCGAGGTGAAGGGCGCTCTATAAATGGAATCTTGTTGTTGTTGTTGCCTCCAACCTTTTCACGCTTTCACCCATCGCTGGATGTATAATGTAAAAGACTAACCAAGAACTAACAACCTGTCAGGCATTAATCTGAAGTTTTGCTTTATTATGTTTGCTTTTTCAGAAAAGATTTCTGCTTGTGATTAAAATGATTTTCCTTCAGGCATTAATGACACAAT